TAAAAAATTTCTTTTTACTTTGTAAGTTTATTGTTGCGAACTAAGATAATGAAGGAAACCAATTTAATGTTTATACAATGTTATATTATGTTTTCAGGTTTCAAAAAATACTTTTGAAAATGTAAATAATAGGTTTAAATACATTGTTACTAGGATTCAAGTCAGAGAAGACAAAACAAATGTATTAAGAAAGAGATTAAAACTAACTTCCAAAGTATGTTGCACTATGGCATGCATCATATCAAAAAAAAGAAATTCTTGATAGTATGATTCAAGTTTGGCTTAATTAAGTTTTTAAAACAATTGATTTAGTTGAATCAATTGTTATGGTTTTAAAATTATTAAGCTCTCTTGATTACCAGGTAATCAAGAGAGCTTAATAAATCAATCAGCAAAAGAGGTCGACCAACAAAAAGGCCTGATGAATTAAGTTTTCGAACCAAAAGACAATTAATAGCAAATATATCATTTGATTCAAAAACGGACACCGTCAAAATATTGTTAATGGTACAAAGAACAGCATTTAATTAACATGACTATAATTAAGTCAAATTACTTAGTGTCGTTAGAAAGAAAGCGTTACAAATTGTTTTTGCTTTACACTCATCTAACCACATTACAAAAGAAAATGACGTCTGTAGAAGCTTTTGCATATTACTTGGATAACAAGTGTTTATGAAAATACCCATAAAGAATACCACGCAGTAAGTGCTCACCCTTTAAAAACATTCATTGAAGTTACTGAAACAAAGGCCAAAGTTAAACTACAGGATCATATGGATCACACATCCAAGTGGTTTGCAAAACTACAAGAAAAAAAAATTTAAATCATTAGGTTGTAAACTTAATAGGATCATAACTTTCAGCAGAAAATAAAAGAGTATTCTATGAAAGTTGAAACCTGTCAACGAATTTAAGTTTAGTACAAGATAGCAGCAAAAATCTTTTTTCGGACTCATTACACTCTTACTTGGGTGGGGAAGGGGCTTTTATTTTTGGAGTATTTTTGATCTCTGGCTTTAATCACCGCAATTTTTTTGCAAACCATTATACTTTGACTTATGCATGAACATAACAAGTTTGGAGCTTTGGAAAATCATCCATTATTTAAACTATGTCTAAAAGTATCACATATAAAAAATTCAATTAGTGCGCTAGTGCTTAAGTGGATTTCTCCAACCCCTTGAAGCGCCTATAAGCAAGTTTAACTCAAAAATAAAAAATATTATATTAAGTCTCTATTTTGCTCAAATAATCTCCACATAAATACAACGATTATATTTTTTGCCACCTAATTCAATAGAATGTTACCACTGTGCAACGACTGTTTGCATGAAATTCAATTCTGCCCGAAATTCGTTTAACAAAAAACAAAAAAAATTAAAAACCTTATAAAGTTGTATATTATTTTATTATTTATGAATAAATGTAGTTTATTTTAATTTTTTAGATTTAAATAAATAAAAATTTGTTCACTTTAAAGTATTAGTCAAGTTTATTACTAGATAAAAAAATAATAAGAAATTTTAAAATTATTTTTTGTAGCTAAGAAATGCAAACTTGTTTTCAGCGTTAAAAAATATTTCTTATCTTCATAATAATAATAATAATAATTAATAGTCCAAAGTGGTACTGCTGATATGCATATTACTTTTAAATGTTTTTAAAAACGTAATATAGATAAAATAATCGTCATAAGTGTTTATATGTTTCCGATGACGCGATGATAATTGATTGCTATACAATCTTCTTTTGTAAAAAAAAAAAATTGATAAAATGTTTTAATGTCACTTTTCACTCCCCTTTGTTTTTATGGAAACAGGAAAAATTCTCAAACATGTTTTCAAACTTGGCTAATTAGAAAAAATTTATTTATTTTTATGCGTAATTTTTTGTTTTCATTTTAAAACAATCGTGTGTGCCTCAAATACTTTAGGGATCGTCCATAAAGTACGTACGCCCAGGAAGGGAAATATATTCACATGAGGATGTGTAGTTTTGCTTTGGAAGAATAAAAACTAATGCTAGGCATTCTCACGTGATTATTTTACCTTTTCAGTTTCCAAAAAGAAATAGAAACTGGTCTTTATTTTATATCTATCTTTATAGAAAAAAAAAAAGGTAATGGTGCAATACCATAAAAATAAATGGCACTTTTAATATCTTATTTTAAAAATAACTTAAAAGTATCAGTAGTTTTTATCGCGTTTAATAAAGAGGCTGTTGTTGTTCTGTTAGGCTTGATTAATAACGGTTTGAAAATATCGTTGTAAATTTTAAAATTGATATATTATTAGCGTAACACTCGAAATAGTTTAAGTTTAAATCATCAATTATGTAGGTTAATTGTTGATAATTTTATCATTTTATAAAAATGCATTAAAATCTTCAATTACGTCATTTGGTGAATAATAACTACTTTAAACTATTTTTTAGTATTTTCGTTTATAACTTTATTTAAACTGTATTTTTGTTTATAACTTTTACAGTTAAAACCACTATCAGGATTACTTGAGGTATTAATTGCTAGTTAATCAACCGCAAACATTCGTTTATGTAAAAAAGAACACCTTGTTTTTCAGTTTTACGCGCGGAGGGAAATAAATTAAAATCTTGTAAGTGGAGTTTTATTGTAATAAAAGAGCATTTTTCGTGGAGCACCTGCTTTGTTAGCTAAAACTGTGGAGCATCTGCTCTACTAAAATAGATTAAGATAAAATAACTTAAGTTAAATAACTTTTTTTTTTTCTTCATCATATAAAAAAAACTACTAGTTTAAATAAAGTTTTAAAAGTTTCTTGTCTTTATAGTTTCAATTTTTTGCGTTTTTTTTTTCCTAATTTTTAGTAACTTACTCTAATAGTAGGTAACAAAAAATTTGGAAAAACAAAAGAATCTATGTATATTCTTCCTTCATTATGTATATTCCTCCATCAATTACAATAATACTACTTACTTCCAGTTATATATTTAATAAGTATTTTTATTTTATTTTCTGCGCTTTTCTAAGTTTGAACTTTCTTTCCTTCAAATCCATAAGTTATTTTGGCGACTTCTATATCGAGTTCATTAAATTTATTCTTAATTTTTTACTTTTTATATTTAATAACGTTTTTATTTTCTACTTTTATGCTATTTTTCGTCGAGTTGATGATTTATTGATGCTTTTGTTGTCTTTTAAGAAGAAGCATATCCAATAGAAATTTTTTTTTAATCATTTACTTCATTTTCAAATTTTCATATTATTTCTGCATAATTGATGATTCAGTTTCAAATTTATCAGTTTTATCGCTAAATTGTTTCATTGATATGTTTTCATGTATATCTATGATCTTTTTAAACTTGCCTTTTTTGAAAAAAAAATTTAATTAAGCACTCAAAGATAAATACGTCATAAAAAAAATATTAAAAAAATAAATAAATAAACTATATAAATAAAATATTAAATAATATATATATATATATATATATATATATATATATATATATATATATATATATATATATATATATATATATATATATATATATATATATATATATATATATATATATATATATATATATATATATATATATATATATATATATATATATATATATATGTAAAAATAAACGCGTCATAAAAAAAAATCAATAAGCACTGGCGCAGTAGCTTGAAATAAAAAATGATATCATTTCAAGCTGTTGAAACTGAATTATTTCACAAGAATAATTTTATAACAGTGTTCAAAAGTGTTACTTTTTACTTTTTAAAAGTTTTACTTTTTTAGTGTTACTAAAGTTTATTTTGTGAAATTGAAAGATTATCTAACATTTCTCTGTGAATACTAGATGTGTTTAATACTTCTAAAATGTACTAAACGTATTTATACGTTATTTTTACGTCTAAAGCCTTGTGCCTAAAATGGATTTGGAAGTTGTACCATCTACAACATCACTACTTCCAAACCCTATTGACGCATTAAGAACAATTCAAAATTTAGAAAACTGATATGATATTAATAACGCAAAAGTTTTAGAAAATATTTGTTATTTTGACAGTGTATAAATACACCATGGAAAAAAACAGAAACTGAGTTGCAAAAAACTAAAAAGTTTTATGTCAACCTTTAATTGTAAACGTAATTAAAAGAAACAGAAGTCGTTTACTAAAAAAAAAAAAGAATCGGGAAAGCGATATGCCAAACAGTAAAAGCGATAACAATAAAAAAATAGCCCGTTTATAAACAAACACAAATTGTCGCCTGATAAAATAATAAAAATAAAACGAACGACGCTAAACTAAAAAATGTTAATATAATTACCGCAAAATTGTAAAGAATTTTGAGTAAATCTAAACACTATAGTAATTACAAAGCCAATTTCTATAAGAAGGAATATAGACTGTTAGTCAAATGTTTCTCCACGAAGAAAGCAATAACTTTACTAACAATTTATCAGAGATAGTAAAATTACTAACAAAAAAATCACTAACAAATTGTTAGCTCCAGAAACATTTGCAAAACGCACGCGCAGTTATCAACTTTACCGATCCCCAGCTGGCATTGATAACATTGTAAATTTGGACCAACTATGGCTCACGGAAAAATGTAAGCATAGTTAATCATAATAATAAGCATCTTTTCGTATTACTATTACTATTAATTTCATCCTGAAAATTCATTATATACATCCTGAAAATACAATACATCTATGTAATGAGTTTTCTGGAAGAAATAATAAATCCTGAAACTTTTTACTGAGGCTATTTCGGCGTGAAAATCAGTGTTTAGGGGCTAGATTTATTGCCGGAGGTAAATTTATAGCAATCCTTTAATTTATTAATTTGCTGTTATATTCGACTTGATTGTTTTAGTTTGCGTTCCAGTTTACATACTTATGTTTGAAATGTGCGTACACGCATACGCACAATGCATAAAATGTATATTATAAGGATTGTAAACCGTGCTTTGATTTTAGATATAAAATTTAAAACAATATATTCTGCAAAATGAACTTTAATATTTAGCTTAGAAACAAGATTGGTGTCTATTTTCATGTCTGATCTGCTGCTGTAGTGCTGCGCTGTTATTAAGTTGCTAATGTTTGCTAATATTGTTTACTCGATTTTCACAGACAATAAATTAATGACATAAATGAACACATTAAGCCAGTATTCCCTTGTATTTCCAATCTGTCATTGCATATACAATAAAAATATCTTTGATGACTGTAAAAAACATTTATTGCAAAATATAGAGAGTACGATTTCACATTCTCGTTCAAACTACAAATCAAAGAGTTTTTGTGAAGTAGCAGTTCTGTGGAGGCGTGTGTAGAAATTGATCAGATTTTATGTATTTGCAGAAAAAAAAATTGGTATAATTATATTTTTGTATTCATGAAATAACTAAGGGTTTTACAGCCTGTATGGGTAACCTATGAAGGCTGTAAATTTAGTATGCCAATAACTAATCTGTGCCAATAACCTTTAGTTATTGGCACAGATTAATTATTGGCATACTAAACTTGTTTTTTTTTTTGTTTTATAATTTTGTGCTAGATTTAAACAATATTTTTTTATAATGTTTGGTCACATTATTTATATTTCTGTCAAATGTTGTCATTGTTCAATATCTGATAAAAGTCAATATGATTGTCTATTATATTGCCTTTTCTCAGTCATTGAACAGCGTCAACATTCGGAATCAATTTGGAACATTTGGAATCAATGTAAAAATTTATAAGTAGGAGTGCATAACCAAATGTTATGAGAAAATTGTAAAAAATTATAATAATATAATGCAATTGTTTAATAAAAACAATTTAAATATACTAATGGTTATATCACGCCGATAACTGTATACATTACTATATTTGCATCAATAGTGAATGGTTTTGTGGTTGTAACAATAGTTTAAGCTCAAAATTTTATTAAATTTATTAGTTACACTTATTAAAAACATTATTAACAAAATTTCTGTTCATTTAAAAAATTTTATTTGTATTTTTGCAATTGTAATTTATATTTTTTGCTTTAAAAATTTCTTTTGTGAGTCATTTATTGCTTTAAAAATTTAATTTGGATTTGAAAGATACATACACCACACTAAAAAGTGACTGGGGCCTTGGCCCTAGCTAAAAATAGCATTTTTTGACAGGCACCATCTAAATTATTAGTTTTAAACGGGGTTTATAGCCAAGGCTAAGAAAAAAATTATAATGTAATATTATAAATTTATGCTTACATTTACTAATTATTAAATATATATATATATATATATATATATATATATATATATATATATATATATATATATATATATATATATATATATATATATATATATATATATATATATATATGTGATAATGATGATGATGATGAATAAAACGATTGCTTCCCCATCCCAGTCAGGCTATTTTTCAGTTGATGTATGTACTGAAGCCCCCAGCAGCAGGCATTTCAGTATGACGTCAGATTGCTTACCTTAGTACGCAATACTATTTGTATATATATATATATATATATATATATATATATATATATATATATATATATATATATATATATAAAGTAATTCATTTCTAAAAAGGTTGAAAGCAACCACTATTACGTTATGAGTAACAAAAAAACAATGGATAGGGTTGAACAACTAGGAAATAGTTTACTGAAGATTCAAAAAGTTTTAGGTTGTATGAGTTAGGAAAACGCCAAGATGGGTGAGAATTTTGAGGTTTTGTTGATATGCAAGGAAAAAAATAAAAATTTTCACAGCATAAAAAGGACATATACAGTAAAAAGGTGCGACTTTGGTGAAGCAAATCGAGAATAAGTTTTGCTGATTTCAATCTTCTTATTTTTTTTTAGTAAACGACTTCTGTTTCTTTTAATGACGTTTACAATTAAAGGTTGACATAGAACGTTTGAGTTTTTTACAACTCAGTTTTTTTCCATGGCGTATTTATCGAAATAGAGGTAATGGCTCATTTGAGCAGCAACCATGGTAATATTTAAAAAAAAAAAAGAGATGCAACCTTACAGCGATAGGAATATGGCTCAAGCTTGGCAAATAGAATAGATCTAACTACATTTGCAATGTGCTTTTGTACTTTTTGTCTGAGAATAAGAGGGTTATTGTTTATCAATAAAAAAATGTCAACAATATTGGTGATGTGTGGTATGATTCTAATAAAACAAGAAAAGAAGCCATAATTTTAGACAGAGATTAGAAAAAGTGTTGTAGCAAACAATGTTTGTCAAAAAATAATAAAATTGTTTGGGTTTCAGCATGTAGAGAAGTAGTAGCTTCAGGAGGAAATGGTAGAGGTAGAAGAAAACCTAGAGAAAGTGCATTTCATAAGGTATGAATGAGCTTTAGTTAAGGAAAGAAGTTGCTTGAGATTGTTTATAATGACGATGATGATTATGATGATCATGTTAATCTTGATAATGTTTGTATATAAATAAACATCCACATATACTTAGCTAATAAACTGCTTGGTTTTCATGTACTAGTTCTGTTTGAACTGTTGCATTAGATGCAGAAGGCAATCTTTCAGATATGCAATACCTGTCTATAAAGTTTTTTTAAATTCAGTGTTATTTTCCTTTATAGAATTCAGTATTATTTTATTATATAAAATAATTGTTTTTCAATGCACTCAATTAGACATCATTGATAATTTTGTGGAAGTAGTAGTATATTTCTACTTACAATTAACTTGAATATTAGTCTATATATCCTAGTGCATAGTCTGTGAAAAAAACTTGACTAAATCAGCATTCCTTATGACCAGCGTGTCCCTATATACCATATAACAAAGCTTAAGATATATTACAAAAACTATATAAGCTACCTCTTGACAGCACTGGCCTATTTGGGCGCTGTCTGAATTCAGAAATGGAGGACCTATTTTTTTTTTGTAATTCTTATAATTCTTTTTTAATTGTATTTCTTGCAAAAAAATGCCTACATACACAGGCTTTCACAGGAAGGCATGCCATTTCATGTCTTTATATGCCCACTCAAGTTACATTTTGCTATGACGATTTGACCGCGGCTAATTCAAAAAACATTTTAAAAATGCACTAAATAAAAAATATTTAAAAAAAGTGAAATTAATTACATCAAAACTTCTTAACAAATGTTTTTATATTAGCGAAACAATTTTAAATAAAGTAACAATTTACTAAAAAAAGGTTTTGTTTTTTAAATATAATTGACAGTTGTATATATTTTTTTAATCTAAAACATATAAATTGTTTAAGTGTTCATTTCTAAAATAAACTTTATTAAAAATAAAAAATTGTTTTGTTTTTATAAACATTCTACAACTACGAAAGTCTCTTTAAGGAATTTAAATATAAGAATGATTAAAGTTAATGCATTTAAAAAGATAAACAAAATTTTGTTAAAAAAAAAAGTTTTAGAAAGCTGCTACAATTTAATAAGTTTGATCTTAAATGCTTTTATATTATCGAAACGCTTTTAATGAAATAAAATAAACACTTCTAACTAATTTTAAAAAAAGTATTGATAAAATGCTTTTTTATTTTATTTATATAACTATGTATTTTTTATTTTTTTTTATGTTTTTGCTTTAAGGTGGTTGCCCAAGAAATAAATCTTGATTTTTTTTGAATTTTTTTTTTTTTTAATTGTTTTTTGAGCAGAATTTTATCCTCTTTAAAATGGTAAATGAATCTCATATGTATAATTTGTTTTAAGTCTTTTATTTTTCATTTTTATATAGTGATATATAAGGTTTTTCTTTACATTTTTGTTTTTGATGTTTTTCATCATTTGTGACTTCAATTGAAGTTGACTGAAAAAACAATCTCAATGTAAACCTATAACGGAAAAGCTATAAGAAATAACTTAAACAATGTCTATGCCATAAAAAAAGCAATCGGCTTAGTGTTGTTTTATTTTACTGTGTTTACCGATGAGAACCAGCGGCATGGAATGTGTCAACGCGATGACACTTCTTGGTGCAAATGGCAGTTAGATAAGACTAATTAGACAAAAACGTTTAAAAACACCATAAGTTAACCAATGTTCATTCATTACCTTTTAAAACCGATCTATGTAAGTTTATTAGACGGCGAGTTATTGAACAAATGCGTTCACGAACAAACTCAAAACACTAATGAATATGGACATATTTCGTGCCATGGTAAGGAAAGAGGCGTGAACATTCTGGTTAAAGGTGCTTGCTGACAAGACCTTTAGGACTTCTTGGGACACCTAAATAACAAATTTAAAAAAAATAAAAATAAAAATCATTTAACTCAGTTGTATGGATTCGATGTCCCAAAAATGTTTTTGTTGAATGAAGAACATTTGAATTAACTCAGCTATTTTACATTATAATGATGAGAGTTGCGGGTTGAATGCAGTTTTAGGACATTTTGGTATTCATGGAAAGGCAACCGCTGAAAATTCTATTGCACAAGATCGTTAACGTGTTACTAGAATGGAAAAGTGATCGAGTCCAATTGTTAAAAAAAATAAATAATTAAGAGCTGTCAAAAAAGGTTACATGGATAAAGTGAATGAAAGTGAAAAGTGTGAATCTTACGCTGCTGGTGGTTTTTAACATCTTTTTCTTATTATTTTAGACAAAAACTTGATTTTCTCATGTTTATGGTTTTACTTAATTTTTAAAATTTTAAAGCATGATATCTCAAGATTGAATGGATGAAATAAGTTGAAATTTTCAGGAAATACTCTTATATTATATATAATCCAGGCTTGGACAGGAATGGTGTGCGGTCGCACTCTGTAACTGACCACGCTAATATTTTTATTTCTTTACAACTTGACCACGGCTATTTTGATGTTTTAACAATTTGAATGCAATAAAAAAAGTGTTACGTTATAAATATCTTTTAATCGTTGATCTTTTCTAAAGTTTTTTATTTTACGTAAAGGCTTTAAATAAAATCATAAAATTAATTATAGTTATTGTTAATATAAACGCTTGTGTAAATTAATAAAAAACGTTAGTTTTTTTTATGTAGGCATTTATTTTTTATGATAAATTTAAACGTTTGAAACTATTTTCTTATGTCTTCCTAAAACATATTTAAACTATTATTTTTAGAAATAATTTTTTTAAGTTACTTTAGTTTGTGAATAAGTTCAAAAGCTTTTGTGGCTACTAACTTTTACACATTTTATGTGAATTATGCAAGAATATAAAATAACTTTATTTACTTATATAAGCATGTATTTTGTTGATTTAATGAAAAAGTTTTAAAGCATTTTGTAATGTTCATACTATTAATTTTTATGATTAAACTTACGATTTTTAAAAATGTTTGAAATAAACATTTTATTTTTTGTAAACAATTTTTTTTTTTTTCAATTTCG